GAGCTTAATCAAGCAAAAAGACCTGATTCATTTCGAGTTGTGAATTTTTATTTTTTGAAATGCACCTAAAAAAATGCATTTTTCGCCTACAGCTATGCAATTTTCATTTGTCCCTTATGCCAAATGTTCTAGAATTTTGCTCAAGCTCTCCCGAATCGAATGCAAAAATGTTTATAACAATCCGTCTTACTTTAAAAAAGTTGGAGGTTTAGACGATTTTAGGGCTTTGTTTCCTCGACTGAAGGTTAAGAGGAAGTGTCCGGTAGTTTTAGATATTGTAATAAATTTTCGTCTTACTCTAGAGACGGCTAATCACATATAAATTGAAAATAATGAATAGTTTCAATTCAATTAAAGTTCATGGCGGTTCAGATCGTAAATTTCTTCGATAATATAGTTTTTTATTAAAACCGAAAGCTACACTTTATTATTAAAAAATAGTGGTAATGACTTAAATTATCATGCAATATTGACTACTTACAATTGAGAGATTATGCTTCTGCAGCAAGCTAACTTGATTTCCAACTGCTGTACAAAATAGGCAATCCGATATACTTCCTAGACTGCAATACAAAGTAAATAGTTTTATTATTAATATAAAATTAAAAAACAGCTAAAATGGTCAAAAAACACAAAATCATTTAAATGTATATATAATATCAAAAAAACTCAAACTACAATTACAAATACACCAAACAAATAAATAGAAAAATAGAGAGACATAAAGATAGATGTGTTAAAAAATGATTCTTACAAAGGTTGCTATAGCGTGAGATATAGTTCCAAAGCGATATAAAAACCAGCGACGAATAATTTTAAAAATGTGTAAAATATATTCTTCTTCTAGTTCCATGACGGTTATCGATGGTTGGATATCATGTTGGCTACCATATTCGCTATCGTGACTTTATTGACAGCAGCTCTAAACAACGATTTAGTTGGTTTTCCATACCATTGCCTTAGATTTTTTAGCCATGATGTTCTTCGTCTACCAGGACCACGATTACCTTGGATCTTTCCCTGAATGATCAGATGTAAAAGATCATATTTTTCAGGGTGTCTCATAATGTGACCGAAGTATTCCAGCTTGCGTTTCTTTATTATATTGACCAGTTGTGTTGTTTGGCTCAGCCATCTAAGGACCTCCTCGTTTCTAACTCTCTCGACCCAGCTTATTTTCAGTAGTCGTCTGTATACCCATATCTCAAAGGCTGTCAAGCGTTTAAGCATAGCCTGAGTTAGAGTCCACGCTTCCACTCCATACAGCAGGACAGGAAAGATGTCATTCGAAGCAAGCCTTAAAAGCTGCAGTAATTTTAATAAATAAGTAACCTTTGCATGCATCTTTGTGGGTTTCAGTTATCATTAGAGATAATCTTAAAATCCATAATACCTAGTAGTCTTATTCTAAGAAATTTAAACAATGTAGTAACCAAAAAACAAGAATACTAGCAATATTGTAGAAATTAATCATTTTACTTACGAGATAGATATCGAGCCAGTTGAGTCCTACAAGTATTTAAGCCATGAGATCAGAATGAATGACAAATAGAAGGAAAATACAAATATAAAACAAAAAAGGTGGAGAATATAGCAGAGGAACAAGAACAACTCAGGAAATTTATAGCATGGTCTAAAAGAAGTGGTTGTCAATTTGCTTTATCTAAAATTCTCTACATCCTATTCTCACAGAGACTAAAAAAGATGATTTGATGTTTATCGCTGACGTCACAATGTGGCAGCTTTTAACTGTCATGCCTGTCATGTCTTTCTCGTCTGTCAACTGTAAATTCATCTTTTCGTCGGGTAGCCATCACGTCTTCTATTTAACTATACTTTTGACAAATAGACACTACGACGTATCATATTTTCATCTATCACTTCTGGTACTATTTAGGGTGTAGTCAAAAAGTCAACACAATTCGTGTTATACAGAGGATAGTTGCTTGTAATAACAATTAGTAATGCACCCGAAAAGAACAGTATTAAATTGGTGCATTCTACCAGTATTAGCCTATGATGCAGAAACCCTAATATTGACAAGACCAACAGTAAGTAAACCTTAAGTGGCGGAAAGAGAATAATGTTTCCACAACCACAAAATAATCGATGACATGAAAAGTGGCTATAGTTGATTCAGATGGCGATGATGAAATAAATAGGACTAAATGAAAAAGCATGTGAGAGACTATTGTTCAGCAGTGGACGTCGGAAGCTTTGTAATGACGATGATAATCTTACTTAATATTTAAGAAAAATTTACCTACCCATCTTCGTTGGAAAGGGAAATTGCAGCAAACGCTATTCCTAAAAGAAAACATAATAAATAAAAACTAAGAAAGGGGATGTTCGTTATATAATATTTAGATCAAAATTTTTATTATCTATTTTAAATATATGTTAACATGCAGTAGAGTGTTACTTCGAGTTCCTCTACTTAGTACTCTAAAATGCAGAATTAAGGTAGCTAGACTGATGAGAAATTTACATCATCATCATCAATGGCGCTACAACTCTTTGTGAGTTTTTGCCGCGTTTACTATTGCCTTCAATGTTTGTCTATACTGTGCAAGTAATTCCCATTGTCGCACTCCCATTTTATCTAGATCTTTTTTGATTGCATCTATCCACCTTTTTCTAGGCCGCCCTACAGACCTTCTTCTCAGAACACATTGTTTATAAGGCGATTGTCGCTACTGCGTATCACATATCTGAGTCTATTTGCCTCAGGTCTTAGAAATTATTCTAGAAATTAGTCTAGAAATTTACAGGTATTTACAAAATATTCAGTAAAAGTATCTAACAAAGAAAGAGAGTAGTATGTTCTACGCTGAAATATTCTAGCACTTGATCATTTCACAGCTTTTGGTTAAATCAGGCAATTGTCAATTTGGACACCTATACATATCTTGATATTAACCTAAACAGGCAATGAGACCACTATATCCAAGTAAAACACTGCGTTGGAAAGAAAAAATATCATTTATAACAACTGTAAAATATATCTTCAGAAGCTATAATTAACCACTCTTTCTTTTTTAAATTTATTCTTTAGGGCATAATGTATGGAAAATAAGACGAGATGGAATTTCTTCATTTGTATTTCTTGACTTTGACAGAATCTGAAAAAATGGTTCGACCAAAATATTTCAAATAACTGTCAGTACAATAAGGATATACATGTTATTTAAAACGAGTAAGTGTCTTTAATGAAGAAAAACCGAGAAAATACTCCAAATAAGCTAAAAAAGTTACAAAATATAGACAAACAAATAACACAGTCGACAAATTTAAGTTGGAAACAATATATACGTGAACAATATAGCACCACATGTTACGTGTCAAGATACTTTCCAGTAGTATACCTTTTAGTATAACCACCATATTTGTAGCATATGTTTGACAAACTAAATACCTTAAATCTGCATCTCTTTAGTAATTACATAAACATAATGAAGTCATTAAAAAGATTGCGGAATTTTATAGAAATATAATAAAAAAGGAAAATAAAAATTATGGTAAATATGATTTACTAGAGTAACGTAAATATTTATATAGGTAAAGAAATATTAAATACGACTTACTCACAATCAATTTAATTTAACTATTCAGACGACCGGTTTCGCTTTCTACAATATGCAAAGCATCTTCAGTCTCGATACAAAGTTAAACTTAACTGAAGATGCTTTGCATTTTGTAGAAAGCGAAACCGGTCGTCCGGATGGTTAAATTAAATTGATTGTGAGTAAGTCGTATTTATTATTTCTTTACCTATTTAAAATGGACTCACACAAGCAACACATTCATGATGTAAATATTTATATTCTAATAAGCTCAAGACTCATATTATCTTAAGATTGGCTATATTGTTTCTCGTATTACCTTTCAAAGCTCCCTCTAAATGGTTTGCAAACTACTTGCTGCAGTAAAATGCTAAAAATTATTCACATATACACGATTCTTTTCATTCAAATTTGTCCTTCCAATTGTTACATATAAAATGAAAACTTTACTTACCCGCAAAGCAAAAAATGGATATAACAGATAAAAGCTTCATTTTTGAAAATAGTATATTCAAAAAGAAAAACTCTTTATTGCAAATTTATAACAATAATTGCCAAAATTAGGTACGGAGATTTACGCTAGTACTAAAAAAACCCAAAAAAGTTTTGAAATACTGATTATAAGATAAACGAAGACAAAAATATATTTTAGAGATCGTTTTATCTTTTAAAGTGTTTTATATACTTATCTGTACTTATTTTAGGTTATCTATATATTAAACGTATGGTCTGGTATTTTTTTAAGTTGAAGCAAGTATAAATTAAATTTTAACTTAACTGAATTAGTTGTGTTAGATAAAATGTCCTATGAGAATGCTAATTAAATATTTACTGTTATTTCTTCTTCTTCGTCTTTCTTTATTGGGTTATATCACAGGAGATAATTTGCCCAGCTAATTCAGGAAGATATTCTCAACTTCCATCCGATCCCCAAATAACACTAAATTGAAATTATTTTATATTGAAGGAACACTGTGTTGAAACTTCTTAAATTACAATATATTAATGATGCCTAGATAGTCTAACTTCATCACTTGTTCTATTATCTGACCTTCCAGCTCCAATTTACATCTTGAAATTTCTGTTATAACCATGTATTTTTAACTTTTTTTGGGAAATGAACATGTTAAATTTTTTGGCCGTTATATTCAATTGGTGCGATATATGTTGTAAATAATTTTCACTCTGAGGGAGTACTATTGCTTCGTCTGCATAGCACGTTTTACTCTCACGTTATGGTGGCTACCTACATTTGCTATGTTGAGATATCTTACGACCATTATTTTTAAATGAATGTATGTTTCTGTTGGTTGTAACATAGTCGATTATACATCTATGTTTACATAAGGTGTTATTAAATGTAAATTTGTATTGATTTTTGTGGTATTGTTCAAGTGTCACCAGAAGATAGCTTAAAGAAAACGAAGAAACAATTTTAGAGTTTTTTTATTAAGTATTTATTAACAAAACGTACCATAAAATAAGTTTAATATTATGTTATAATTTAAATCCTTAGTAATATTGATTTAATAAGATATGTAAAATATGAAGTTCTCATCAATGGTTTCAGCTATAAAGTAAAAATTAAAAATAAGTGAACTCAATTAACAGTAGCCGATGAACTGGCATGCTTTTTGGGTACTAGAATTGATCAGTTTATCATATAACGTGCCAATTTCTGGTGCCAAATGTTTTTTACAAAAATTGCGTATTGCATTGAAGGGTAATTTGTTGCACAACTTATCTACCTCGTGTTCGACAGTGTCCTAAAAAACAAAAAAGGCACATTAAACATTTAGTTTCTCACTTTTCACACTAATAATTTACAATATGGAAAATATGTTGTGACTTGCAATAAAGTCTATTTTTAAAAGAGTCAGAGATTATTTAACCACGAGATACGACGGCGTCCCGGTCCTCTTCTGCCAAATACTTTACCCTGCGTAACGAGTTAAATAATTCGAATTTTTTTTTCGTTCCGCATCAAGTGCCCGATGTACTTAAGCTTACGTAGTTTCACTAAATTAAGTATTCATGCCACTTGGCTCTGTTCACGATAGTTTAAAAAATATGTCGGTTAAACAATAATAATTAAACAACATACAAAAGTCAACAAAACCTTACCTTTGAAATATGTTTTTTAATTAGGCTTTGGATTAACTTGGCAAATAGTTTGCAGATTGTGCAGCCCCCAGGAAATTCTGGGCTGAAAAAAAATAATATATGTATTTTCTATCCAAATACATAAATCTGTCACATTTATTATCATTCACTACCTTTTATACCATGATTAACTCCTAAATTAATACAAACACTAAAGGTTATTGACAATATAAAAATAGCAACAAAGAACATCAAAACCATTTCATCATTATATTCCAAAACTAAATATCCTATAGACAAATTAGATCAAACAAATGTAGTATACAGCATTGTTTGTACTCAGTGTGAAGCTGAGTATATTGGTGAGACTGGAAGAAATCTCTCAAATCGCATTATTTCTCACAAGAGTGATTGTAGAATTAAGAAACCATCTTGTGCTTTGGCAGAGCATGTAATAGACAAAGACCATAATTATGGATTTTGGTAATATTAAAATTTTATGTAATGAAAGTAATTAATTTAAAAGAACTTTTTTGGAAATGGTTTGAACTAGCAAAAGTGATAATAATTTAGGTCAGAAATTCAAAACTAAATGTAATTTATATATGCAATCAGTAAAATATCACATTTTGAATTTTCCATGTATTTGTTACATTTTTTCAGGCATCTATCAATGGTGAATAAATCTTCTTTTTTTTTGTTACTAAACAAAAAATAATTTTTTAAACAAAATTTTATTTTTGACAATATTATGTCAAAAATAAAAATTTTTAAGTTGGTATTTACGACATTTATGCTGAATTGTAGCTATTCAATTTTTGTTTACAAATTCAATTGTTTTTGTTAAGAAATTTTATCAAAATTTATTTCAGAGAAACATTTATTAGAATAGGGCATTTTTTAATTTTTTGTAATAATGTAAGCAGCAGCTTTAATATAAAAAAACTAATTTTATTTGGTGAGTTAACAACAAAATTTTTTATTTCTAGTTAAACTTTGTAAGATATTTTGTATTTTTTAGAAGCTCTTGATAAAAATTATTATCACAATTGAAAGCTCGAGTAAAAAATAGTCAACAAATAGCTATTTTATTGACTCCAACCCATCCAAAAAAAATATATATATATATATATATATATATATATATATATATATATATATATATATATATATATATATAATATTAGGGCGTGGCTATAAATGTCATAATTATTCTCTGTCTTAAAATGTTGTGTTGGCATATTACAGCTGGCATTTAGCCTTATCATTTTTGACATTAATTTAGTTTGGGTCTTAAAGAAGGTTAATTTCTTTATGAATGGTTTAATTAAAAAGAAAATTTTTTACTTATAATATTTTTTTTATTTTTTTTCAGTTATAGCCCAATAACATTTGTAAGTTATGTAGCAATGTCTACTTGTAAACAAAAAATAGAAGTTTTTCTTTGTTTATTTCTATTAATATGGTCTTTATGTATTTGTAGCTAATTACATATCAATATTTATATATATATATATAATATATATATATATATATATAATATATATATATATAATATATACATCATTTTATATTTTGTAGCTGTTTGTGTTGACAGCAATAAATGTTTTGATTTGTTTCTCCAACCATTTTGTTTATTTTAGAAAAATCTTCTAACCTTTTTTTGTGCTTACTTTTTTAGGAAGGAAAAGCCTGTTTTTCTTTCCTTTAGAAAACTAGGATCCATCAAGGCGGTGCCCGTATTTTAAATTCCTAGAAGCCCCTTTTTTGGTGTATTATTTGCCCAGTTCCCCAGGAGATTTATGTAAGTAATCCTTTGTTTCATTTTTTTGTCAAGGGGCCAATCCGACCCGTTTGTTATTTAACTTATCCACGACCCAGCTCTCCAATTAACCCCAGAGTGCTATACGCACAAGTATCGATTATTTTGCTTGCCCTATTTCAACCCCCTCAGTTTTTATTCCCAATTTTCTACCCCCATAATCTTACCCTGAAGAAGGCAAAATGTTTTTGTTACAAAACGATTAGAGGCATTTGAAATGTGGTACTTCCGACGTATGATGAATTTCTCATATATAATATGCACCACACAAATAACATAACTATTCTCCAGAGGCTAATAAAAGACAAAAAAATTATTAACACTATAAAAAACAGAAAATTGGCTTACTTCAGCCACATCATGTGTAATGATAAATGCCGACTTCTATAGTTGATTCTACAAGGCAAGATTGAGGTTTAGAAAGGCACATTTAGAAGAAGTACACTATAATATAAAAATAAAACCCCTAAACTAGTTGAAACATACTGGCTAAAAGACGGTAATTTGAAGACGAAAAACAGCAATTATATCTACGTTTAATTAATACTATTAAACTTGCTAGGTTACTTGATTCTTTGTGAGTCCCCAAATAGACTTGCTTTCTTGGAATATATAGAAGTAAAAATTAAAAAGTAATGAAAATAACAAAAAATTGTTTTAAACTATAACTTACTTTTCTTCGAGGTATCTTTCAAGTGCAATCAGATCTAAAAAATAAACTCAATGAGAATCGAATAAGAAAAATTTATTTATTATTTACCTTCTTTGTCAATAGAAGCCAAAATTATTTTAATAAGTTCTAAAAATAAAAAAAGTATTAGTTTATCATATAATGATTTTTTATTTTGTTGTTGTTGCTTTGTTTTAATAAATATTTTTTCGTCTGGGCGCGTTTAAGGGCAGCATTTTAGTTAAGCCTCTCGAATAGCTGCTACGATATTTTCGTTTAGGGTATTTACATTTTTTATGCATTCGTTTTTTTGTAGAATTTTATTGGTATTGTCTTGGTATTTAGTTAAATTCATTGGATCGTCCATATCGGATTGGTTATCTTCCTATGGTTAATATGATGAAGTTATTCCAGACTTTTTAAATGAAAAATCACTCTGATATAAATTCGGGAGAAAAATATTTTAAGATTTAGAAGTTATTTAAGTACAAACTAACAACCTGTATTTTTTTTAAATTTGGTAAGTATGTATTGTGCATCCTTACATCAAATTTATAAAAAAGAAAGGATACTAGTAAACAGGACAAAAAGATTCCGTTCATGGCAATCATTGTTCACCTCGTAGTCAACAAAGCAAAGAATGCAGAAAAGGAAATTGTGTTTTACATAAAGATAATTGGGCACCAAGAACTTAAAGGGGTATTGTACTGCAGATGTCGGTAACAGTAACGAACTCGTTGACATTAATAATCAGAAATATCTGTTTTAGGCTGCAATCTCTAAATAATAATGTCGATTCCTTTTTTACTGCCTCGAGTTGGACAATATATATACAAGACGAAGAAAAGAACTGTTGATAAGTTAGCTCCACTTAATGAAGTTGATGACAAACATAGATGATGAACCAAACTTGATAAACAGAAAACATAGAAACTACTTTGACAAGTCTTTTTGTCTTTTAAATATTTTTAAAAATTCTCTAGTACTTACCATCGTCATCAAAAAGAGTCTTGTTACCAAGTAATTCAATATGCTCTAAAATAAAAAGTTCACATAGAAATTACAAAACTAATTATTAAAATAAAAATAAAAATATATAGCAAGTAATATACTATTTAAAATTTTTTATTAATCTAACACGTGCTTAAATTTTTATGCCATTCCGTTATCCCAAAATTACATCTCGTGACGTTACTTTTTCGGATTTTTGTTTGCTATCCCATGGTTGACAACTTAATTTTATTTAATAAATAGCTGCCTTTACAAAATTAAGATCCTAATTCAGATATTTGATTTTTTTTAATCAGAATATCGGAGTAAACGGATATATCCTAGTCTTTTTAAAAGATGAGATTTCTGACAAAGCTCCGAAGTCTGCTTTTGTTGTATATAACAGAGTTTAGATCGTTTAAGATCATCAGAGGCCTTGATAATCCCAGTTAGAGTTATGTCTTGCATAATATCAAAATAAAACCCTACGTGGGTCCTAGCCTCCTCAAGAATTTTTCTCCCGTCCTCTCTATTCTCTTCATCTCTGACCAATAGTTTAATCAAGGAGCGTTTTTTCTAGCTGGGTCTTTTATTTATCCGCATTACATGCCCTATCCACCTTAGACGTATTATCTTAATATGTTTTACGATGTCAGGTTCCTGCTATATTCTATAAAGTTCGAAGTTGTATCGCCTTCTCCACGTTCCATTGTCATACTCTGCTATATAAGTTCGCCGAAAAAGCTAGTATTTCTAGCTCTTTCATAGAGTGCAGCATATTCGGCTTAAACAAATTAAATTAAATAAAAATATAGACAGTAGAGACATTAAAATCAGGTATAACCTCTATTAAAAACAATCAGTAAAAGTAAAAGTTGAAATAAAACTGACCGAAGATATCCAGATTCGCCGTGTGATCCGCCAAGGGTTTATTTTATCGCTCTTGTTTTTCAATTTATACAGTGAAGCCATCTCAAAATTAGAGCTTGCCGAGCTCAGTTAGGGTCTTATAATAAACAGTGAACCACTTAATAACAAAAGATATGCTGACGACACAGTCCTTCTGCCAGGAACACTAGAAAACACTAGAAGAACTGCAACACCTTGATGTACAACTAAATATATATTACAACGATTATCGACTAAAAATAAATTTGAAGAAAACCAAGTTCATGGTATTTACAAAAGCACAAAACATCAAAATTAAGCTAGTACTAGATAATACAGAAATTAACCAAATATCTTCGTACAAATACCTTAAAGCATGGATCACAGAAGATACTGACCAGACAAAAGAAATAAGATGCCGCATTGAAATTGCACGGTCAACTTTTAATAGATTGAGAAAAATTTTTTGTAATCGCGATATAAAAGCCTAGAAAAATAAAAGCCTAGAAGCATTAGAAATGTGGTGTTACCGACCTATTTTAAATATATCATGGATGGATCGCAAAATAAACAAACAAGTTCTCGAACAACTAGGAAAACAATGCAAAGTTTTTAATTTCATAAAAATGAGGAAATTGGAATACTTGGAGCACATCATAAGAGGTGAAAAATACGAACTACTAAGGAATATAATGCAGGGTAAAGTCAAAGGCAGAAGATGCGTAGGAAGACGTAAAATCTCGTGCCTAACTAATCTTCGGGAATGATTTGGATGCAGTTCAATTGAACTATTCAGGTGCGTAACCAACAAAATTATAATTGCCAGAATGATTTCCAATCTCCAACAGGAGCGAAACTCGACAAAGAAGAAGCTCTTTCATTGTTTTAAACATTTACCTTCTATTCACAAAGTCGTAGGCCGCTTTGTAGTCTCTAAATAAGTAATGAGTATAAATGCTAGATTTCAGTATTTTTCTATAATTTGTTTCAGGGTGGCAATCTGATGAATTATCTATTTACTACCTCTAAAACCAACCTGGTATTTTCCTACTATTCATTCTACATGGTAGCACACGATCACATCTTACTGTGGAAAATATTTTATGCGCTGCATTAAAAGGCTTAAGTCCTTTGTCGTTAGAGCATTTAAAGATATCTGCTTTTTTGTGTATGGTGCAAAGTATTCCAATATTCCACTTAATGAGGAGAGATGTTTCTGGTCATATTTCTTTTATAAGCTGCTGTAATGCAATTATGGAATCTTGACTAACCTCTTTATATAGTTCAGCTGGGAGATCATCTATTCCGGGTGATTTGTTTCTGGCTAACTTTTTAACTGCATCTTTAACTTTAAAAATCATTTAAAATATTAAAATACTGCTGTTAATAATTTTTTTTTAGAGATTTATTGGAGGTACAGATAAAACCACAAATGGAGGGAGTATGAAGAAGATAATTCTGGTATCAGCATACATTCAATTTGAATTTGAAAAGTTTATTATTCAGGATTATTTATTGGTTTATTATTCGTCGTATTATTAATCAGATTATTCGGAATTATTTATCCACAGTAATCACCATCAAGTTAGACAAAACAGCTAAAAGAACATAGACCGACCATTACTTAATGGAATTTTATTTTATCTGTAACATTAAAACACTGAAATTTTATTTTTCAACACTTCTACAAAATTTATTATCACTACAGCTGTTTCGGTAGAATACTTTTCTCGAGTGATGTATTTTTACGGCGCCTCTACAAAAACAACAAAGTTTTGACTGAACTAATTCAGGACGGGACTTTTAAACCAAAAACTGCCAAACCAAACAAAAACTCATGAAACTAATCTTTCTACTACTAGAGAAAAAAACCCACTTATACAATGGTTTATAAAAGCTTGCTTGTAGTGACTGCCCAAAAACTTATATCGGTCAAAAGGCTAAACCTTTAAAGCACGTATTGTAAACACAAAATAGCTTTTATTAATAGAAAAACAGATGCAAACATCTGTTCCTATCTTTACTTATGTAGTTACAGCCTATAAAGTGTAGACGCTTAATAAAAATACACCACTTGAGAAACTCACTCTGCTGAAAGAGTTGTGGGAATGATAAATTAGGATAAAGTTTGTGAAAGTGTTAAAAAAATTAAAATATCTACACTGAAGCTAAAAAAATTTAATGATAAAAGAATTCTTGTAGTTTTTCGTAAAAGTTGATAAAATTTAGACCTGGTTTTTCTGTTTTGGGCACTTTATAGTTTAATGATGTTGATTTTAAAGAGTTAACCAACTAGTTATATTGCGATGATTATTTCTGAGCATGTTTTTACGTGTACTATTGATTTATTTATTTTGTTTCGTATTCATAATCAGACTGCTTTAAATTAGAGTTTGTCGATCCCGAATAGCAGTCTCCGTGACACCGAGTCTTAATAATTTCTAAAAGATCTATAAACATTCTTAATAAAAAGAAAAGACTAATAAATTAATAGGAATAGTTCAACATATTTTTTATATTTTTCCATATTACATTGAGTAACTGCCTCTTTGAACCAGCGTTATAAAATATTTTTAAACCTTGGGACGTTGTTGTATAATTACATTATTAAAAGGAGGTAGAAAATATAAACACAGGTATTTTAGCTCAGAAAACAAAAATTAATAAATAATTTGAAAAATTATTTCACAGTTTTCTTACCATATTTTCCATCGACGGTATTTAAAAGTAGTTTGGCATCTAAAAAAAAATCGTTTAATATTCAAGTTTGTAAAAATTTTAGTAATGATGTACCTGTATCTTCGTTAGTTGCACTTGCAAATGTTGTAGTACCTAAAAATATAAATTTATCAAAATTTATTTAAGGGGAGGGGTAGGGTTTATTTTTAATATTTTAAGAATATCTTAAGGATTTTGTTTTTGAAGAACTGTTTCATATAAGTATATTTATTTATAACATCAGTACATTATAGAACATCAATTTAGGAATATTATCTGACATTTTTACAATAAAAATACCAAGAACTCAGAAAATGATAACTAATTTTCCAAGGTGAAAAAAAAGTTACTGTATCACCAGCATCATCAGGGAACATGGAAGCGATCATACAGGAAACAAAAGATGATGCCTTACAGATTCTGGATGATCTTAGTAACCTCCATCCTAACTTCTCTTTTACACTGGAATCAGAATCTGACAATAAGTTGAACTTCTTGGATCTAACTATATCCCGTAAAAGAGGTTCTTTGGGGTACAATATTTACAAAAAACTACTTAAATAGATCATGTTATACATCTAGACCTGATCTAGACCTGATCTGATCTATACAGATCAGAAACATCTAATCATTTAAAGCAACATAAAATGGCTACTTTCGACAATTACATTTATAGGACACTCAAATTTTTACTTTCTACTGATAACTTTAATTTAAAACTTAATACTCTCAAGCAAATTGCTTTTAATAATAGTTATGATCCCAACATTATAATATATAAGCTTCTAAATAGAGCTAAACTAAAAATTGCAGAAAAGCTTGCTTATTTATTACAATGTTTGCTTCAAACCAATGCTGCAAATAACATCGGATATTTCTCTTTACTTATGCCAACAACTTTTCCAAAAAAATGTCAAAACTTTTTACTTCTACAATTGAAGACATCAAAGAACACTCTAGGTTCTTTTTATTCAACATCAAAGATGGAATAAACACACTTAACACAAGTGGTATTTATAAATTAAAATGTGATGATTGTGATGTCTCTTATATAGGTAGAATCATTTGAAAGTTATCTACTAGATTTACAGAATATTTGAAAATACCAAACTCTTCAAATTTCGGTCAACATTTATTATCCAATAAACATAATTTTACCATAAAGACTGGTTCATCTATTTTACATAACATTAGTAAAAAGAAAAACTACTTGGAGTTGGATTTATTGGAAGATTTGGAGATTACAAGGGAAACAGATGAAAACTGTCACTGTCTTAATACTGGAATTAGTTTAAATTGTACTAAATTTAAACGTATTTTTAAAAACTTTATTGCTGCTTCACACTTTAAAATTTAGTAAAATATAATTTCACAAAAAAACACAAAAATAAGTATAACAAATGACAATATAATGGAGAATATCGGTGGGTGTATTACCGAACTAGGTTTTCGGACTGCTATTTTAAAACATATTTCATAACGACACTGACACGAAAAACAGGCCTTGGCATGTGCAGTCGAGTTGGTAGTACTTGTATAACACAATGATAATTGGCTTATCATGAACTTGGAAAATACCGAACTATAGGTGGTTAAATTTGGGTTAGAAAATAGATATGTTGTTATAGAGCTTGACAAAATACAAAATCAATTAAATTTAAATCTCCGAGAGACAGGGATCATAATATCTGCTCTATGCTAAAGGGAAAAAGAACGTTTTCAGTAAAAAAGGTAACACATTTGGGCATAATGCTTGATTGTAACCGATAATTTGGTGTGAAAATGTCAAATATGTTAACAATAAGGCGAATCAAAGTAATGCGTCACTAGCAAGAAGTATGCCTAGCATGGGAGAATCTAATACAGAAGCAAGACGAATCCTCATAAAAGTTGTCCACTTGTCAATTTTGTATGCGTTACCAATGTTTGTTAAGGGGTTGTCTGCTTATATTGGACAGCCTCAACTGTAGATTTACAGGCCATAGCAGGAGTACCACTAATAAACCTGCACTGAAAAGAAAGATCGACATAATGCGGCAAAAATAGCCAGGCAAATAAAATAATTAAAAAAAAAATAAAAACAAATGTGACTAAAAGAATAAAAAAATAAACGGAGTGCTACATGTACAAAGGTGCTAATGCAGTATATGGAGAAAAAGGTAAATTGTAATTACAAGAGCACGAACTGCTTCGTCAATGATGTTTTTAAAGCAATAACAAAAATAATTTAACAAAACGAAATTGTAGAACAAAAAAACAGATTAGGAAAAAAAAGAGAAAGGTATATGGGAGGCTGCGCGTGCGGCTAAACGATCTGGAAAGAGGTGCCAAAAGTGATTATAACTGGTAGGCAGGGTACCATAAATTCATCTAGAGAAAATACCCTCAAAAGGGGAAAATCCGTTACGATTTACTTTATCTACTCTGAATCCAACTCACACCAATACGATTCACCTGGTGCAGTCTTAAGATCCACTTTTACAGAAAAAAATATTATAATAGAATATGAAGAGCGGGGATTAAAACAACTAAGAAACGAGCAAAGGCAAAAAAATAATAATAAAATTATTAAACCGATAGACCAAACTTTTATGTTTGAAATGTACTAAAATCGTAACCAATAATATAGGTGAAAAATACAAATTTATTATATTTAATATACATTATAACAATACTTACATAGTAATGCTAAAATAGCTAAAATTGTAACGGCTCTCATGTTCAAAGATTGTGATAAACAAAAGTCGACTTAATTTTAAATGAGAATCTAGTCAAGTTTACTTAGTTTATAAATTGAAACATCGCCTTATATTTGAAAATAAAACAAAAAAATCATACTTATAATAATGTACTACTTCGAGATAGTTTAAATCATTGCAAAATTGTTTACAAGTAAATTCTCATACAATAGAAAACATAATCTATAACCAGATTTAATTAAAACAAAGGATACAAAAAAAATACAATAGATTATATAGAGTAGTACAATCAAAATATAAAAATAGTTGATTAGAAAACTACGTCTTTCACTAAATATGTAAATATGTAAATGCACGATAATATTTTGCCTACCTTAGGGTAAGATTATGGGGGTAGAAAATTGGGGACAGAAACTACTAAGGGTGAAGATAGGGCAAGCAAAATAATCGATACTTATGCAAACGGCACTCAGGGTCTGTTAGGAGAGCTGGGTCGTGAATAAGTAAATGGCAAAAGGGTCGAATTGGGGTAACTTACATAAATCTCCTGGACAACTGGACAATAAAGACAACTAAAAAGTGCTTTTAGCAATTTCAGATAAGGCGCCGCTTCGAAGGATCCTAGTTTGCTGAAGGAAAGAAAAAAATAGGCTCTTCTTTCGTTGGTTTCACTAAACAAACTAAGATTTTTGGGGTTACCTTCTCTGCCACACGATCAAATCTATTTCCATACTGTGAGATATACTCTGGGACGACTTCTTAGGATAAATTAATAATACAAACTTGAGGATGAAAATCTGGAACACAAAACTTTGGAATGGGCTTCTTAACAAACAGGAATATATAAAACTGGACACAACGGAAATATGTGGTTATCTTTCGAAAATTTTTGCAGGCAACACAAATCCCTTAGGTACTAAGAAAAATTAAAATAGTGATGACTAAAGCTCGGATTATAGGCAAAATGCCTTTTTTGCCTATTTTGCCTATTATAATTGTTTTTTTCACTTTTTGCCTTTTTGTCGTAAATTCCGCCTACTTGTGCCTTTTTTAAAATTTCCAGGTACTACCCATGATATTATTCTATTACTAAACCATTTTATAATAAAATTTTGTGTCAATAATAAAATATCAATGGTTTGTTTATATAACAGATTTCTAGGAAAATGTACCTGATCGAGACTTGAGGTTAACTGTTTGGAAATCCGTAAGCTTTATTAGTTTATTTTCAGTATTACAGTCGGTTACTCTATCAGAGTTTAGTCACAAATTGCTATATCCTAGTTTAGTTTTGTTGCGTATACCGAAAAGCAAAGAACATGTTTTAAAATGTTTTAGACATTTGTGTGAAAAGATGGCATCTAATTTAAGGCTATGGACCACACCTTATTAGGAACTTTCTCTAGAAGGAGATGGAGCATTTTGTAAACCATGAGGCAAATCGGTAAGTTTTATTTTTTCTCTTTTTTTCTCGTCCCACAACATAACTAAATTCTAAAGCGATTTTAAAATTCTATTTTTTTTTAATTCTCAGATTTCGAGTAGAAAAAAGTACTTTATTGACCAGCATTGTAGAACCCCACTTCATAAACGTAATTTGGAAAAACTAAATTCCTCTAAGTTAGCCCAAATATCTCTGTGGGTAAGTTTAGGCAGTTCACACAAAAAGGAGAAAGGTCTAACTGGTAAGCAGGTTTTGTATGTTTTCAATAAAATTGATAATGTGTAAAATGATTTATTAATTAAGCTAAGTATACTTTCGACATAATAAATGTCATCATCCGAGCTATCCTAAAATAACGTTAAGTTAAATAATTTTTTTATATAAAATACAATGACAGAAAAAACTTACGTCAATTAGGCAATAAATACTTCATAGACGGAAAATTGTGGACAAACGACATATTAAAAAACAAAGATCGGGCTCCCTAGGCCACAGATCTTGGATCTAACCCTTATACATATGTATAATTCACATCAAAAACTTTTTATAAAACATGGTTACCACATACAGCAACGACAACAGCTGTTTTTGACTTACATTTTTGAAGTAAAATAAAGGAGGAAGTACTTTTTAAAGGAGTATGTACTTTTTATAGGGTAGGAGGAAGTACTACTTCTAGAGAAGTTTTTACTTCAAAAACGTAAGTCAAAAACAGCTGTTGTCGTTGCTGTATGTGGTAACCATGTTTTATAAAAAGTTTTTGATGTGAATTAAACATATGTATAAGGGTTAGACCCAAGATCTGTGGCCTAGAGAGCCCGATCTTTGTTTTTTAATATGTCGTTTGTAAACAATTTTCCTTCTATGAAGTATTTATTGCCTAATTGACGTAAGTTTTTTCTGTCATTGTATTTGATATAAAAAATTTACTTAACTTAACGTTATTTTAGGATAACTCTGATGATGACATTTATTATGTCGAAAGTATACTCAGCTTAATTAATAAATCATTTTACACACTATCAATTTTATTAAAAACATACAAAACCTGCTTACCAGTTAGACCTATTTAGAAGTGTGTACAAGTCTTACAGTCCTTTTCAATTCTTTTTCAAAAAGGAGGAAGACGCATTTAAATTTGATTTATGCCAGATGATGATTGCATCCAACATTCCTCTATATAAAGTTAATAACCCTAGTTTTACATGCTTTTTTCGAAAAATATCTTAATTAATTCTTACCGGACGAGAGTACATTGAGAAACCATACTATGGAAAAATGTTATTAGAAATGTATTTCAAAAACTAAGCGGGAGTTAGAGAGCAATTTTTTGTATATTATCGTGGATGAAACAACATATGTATGCCGCAGGTATATAGCTAATGTAATGATTGGAATTTTGAACGAAAACTTTGCGAGAATACCTTATTTAGTTGCCGTTAAAGAATTGGAAAAACCAAACAATTTAACAATAAGTCAATTTATACAAGATAATTTAACAATTGCTTTTTACCCTACGCTATAGCAATGAATAAAATATTTTTAATGCTTTCAGATTCTGCGGCATATATGTTAAAAGCTGCTGTTAATTTAAAGATTTTTTATCCTAATTTAATAAATTACACTTGTGTATCCAACGGGGTGAATAGAATTGCTGAAGAAATAAGAAATCTGTTTCCGTTGGTCAATAATTTTATAAATTTTATGTAAAAAGTTTTTGTAAAGGCTCCGTTGAGGGTGCAAATATATAAAGAAAGACTTCCCGGTGTCCTCTTGCCACCTTAACCAGTAATTACAAGGTGGGGAACCGGCTCGAAGCAGTTTTTTTTACTTTGAACACTGCAATGAAATAGAATTAGTTATGTCAGAATTTGATGATGATATTTCCGAAGCAATTCGAGAAGCAAAAAAAAATATTAAAATATCTCAAATGGAAACAGGAACTGGCTTATATCAATGACAATTATAAATTAATACACAATTACTTTATTAGAAAAACAAGAGATAAATTTATTGTTTGTTGCTATGCCCCTGGAAGCAACGGTCAATTAATTTAAAAAACAATGAAATATGTTTTCGACAAGAATGAAGGTTTTTCGTTTTTATTTAATGATGCTAAATTTTTGAATGGGACATTTTCCGAGGAATTTCAAATTATGCCAGATTTATTATCCGCTCTAAAATATGCTCCAATTACATCTGTCGATATCGAACGTTCGTTTTCAATGTACAAATTAATTTTAAGTGAACGAGGACATAGTTTTAAGACCGAAAATATTAAAAAACATTTAGTTGTTTCTATTAATGATAAAATTTTAAGTGGTTACAATGTTTAATTATTAATTTACAGTTATTTAGTTACTGTGTAAATATACCTGCCTAAAGTTAATATTACGTTAATTCACTTTGTACAATAAATTATTATCGTACAATAAAGTTATATTCCTTTATTGCCTATATTTTACCTAAATGTTAACATTCCTGCCTTTTTTAATTAAAAATCTTTGCCTATATAGGCGCTTTTTTCTTTAATTTTTATTGTCTATAAATCCTAACTTTAGTGATTACTCTTTTCAAACTTGACATATTACATAGAGTATAGTCTACTATTTACAACACTTTTTGGCCAGTCTTTTTATCGACTTACTAAAGCGTCTTCATTTTTCCCTTACTTATTTTAACCTGCCTGAATTCTCCTCGCCTTAATCTAATACCGGCGAGGGCGATCCTTTTTCTTACCTTTCCAACATAAATTTCTTGTTTTTAAAACGGGCCTTGACTATGTCACAAAGCGACCTTGAAACAAACTACTTTTAAATATGTAGAAATAACACAATGTATACAGAGAATTGGGGATTTGCATGTAAATAAAGACAACAATATTTATATTAAGCTCAGGGGTGAACTACAAAATTTTAAACAAATATTTCATGGTTAAAAAAATTTGAAAGGCTATAAATACCATAAGATAATTTTGCATAATATATAATATTAAATAAAATAAATAAGGACCAAAACTGACCATAAGGATTGTACAAATTAAAAAAATATTAAATCTAAAAGCCCTCAATAAACTTTATACAGACCACTAATAGACTTTATACTAAGTAGCAAAGAAATAAATTTAGAAGAAAAAACATATTATCCAGAAACTATCAAATAAATATAATATCTGAAAAGTAGACAATAGCTGGTAAAAAACCAAACTTACAATAGAATAGAACTAATCTACATCCGAAAAAGACTTAAAAGAACCTAAATTGAATAAAATATCATAAAAGAAGAAAGGCTGGTGAAATTCCAAAAGCAAAGTTGTACGAGTTGGAGATAAAGCGCTAGAAAACACATCTGGTAAAGGGCCTCCTAGAAGAATGAAGTCCTAAAAAGTACGTAAGACTTGTTAAGGACATATGTGGGGAGCGTACTGCAAAGTGAGGACTTGTGTCGAATTGAGCGAAATTTTCCAGTAACGACTGGTTAGTATTAAAACTCTTCACTGAGTACTTGTTTACTCTTGTTATGGATGTACTGAGAGAGAAGGTAAGAGAGGCAGCTGCCTGGGCAATACTCTTTGCGAGAAATATCGTCTCAGTGAGTAAGAGCAAGGAAATATTGAAAAAAGAGTTGTATATAAGGGCTTTTGAAAAGGTTGAGGTCATTAGTTTGAAAACTAAGTATATGTGTTCTTTAGATTCTAATGTCTCTATATGTAAAAAAATAGTAAAGCAAATAGAACGCAGGGGCTTTCAGGCCTGAAGAGCTGTCATATAATTAGAGTACCTCATTTTCTCGTTGGAAATCCAAATTTATTCCGTTCGGAATCCAAATTACCTCTAGTTGGGAATAAAAATTTCGTTCTATCTAGAATAAAGATTCCTTTAATAATATTCGTGTGGTACTGAGGTCAACATACAGTTGATATGCTTTACCCAGTTCATTTTCCCAGTTCCAACTTTTCTTTCTATTTTCAAAGATGTTACTTTTTTAAGTTAAAAATGTTACATAATAATATATTTACGTCCATTGGAAATTAATACTTGACAGAAAGTTGAACCTTCTGGTTTAATATAAAGAGCCCAAATAAAGGACTGTTATTTACATGTTAAGGCGTAGGCAAAATGGCAATGAGGGTATCAATTAGTAACGAAGATGGTTAAAGAAAAAGCAGTGGAAGACCGAGTTTTAAGAAATAAAAGTGGGACATTTAGCATGAAATAATCTAGGATAAATGGGACGTTTATGTCAGAATAAAGGATTCTCCTTTATCCTTACACTGATGATCCCCAATTGTTTTAACCGGAAAAAGTCCGGCAAGAGATCTCGTAACAGAACCTAAGCGGATGATGTCGTTTCGTGTAGGATTAGAATATTTTACTCTAATATTTTTACTCTATTAACTAAATTTCATTTTTTTTCTTTGTCAAAGAGAAGACTATATCGGCTATTTAATATAAGTTTTAATAAACTGTAGCAATTTAGTAACCACAGAATTTTTCTACTACTACTACTACTTCTAAGGATTTCCACAGTTTTCACTGTCTTCCTTCACTCAACCGTTTTGTCCAATTTTCCCTGTCATTCCAGTCTCCATCTCGCAGGGTTCTTTTCTCCATAGCCTCGCCGATTTCGTCTCTAAATGACCTTCGGGATCTTCCTCTCTTTCTTCTTCCGATCGGGCTCCATTCTGTGATTTTGTTTATCCAGCGTCCTCTGTCCGCTCTTCTGACGTGGCCGTACCAGGAGGGTCTCTTCTCCTCTATATAGTCGATTATGTCTGATTGCACTTCCATTCTCCGCTTAATCTCTGCGTTTTTAAATCTGTCTCTTTTTGTAAGTCTACAGCTTCTCCTCAGGAACTTCATTTCTACTGCTCTTATTCTACCTCGATTTCTCTTGTTTATTGTCCAGTTTTCGGACCCATATGTCAGGATACTTCTTGTCAGGGTATTATATATTTTTTTTGTCTTTATCATAATGTTCTTATCCCACAGCACTGAATTTAGTTGTCTTATACAATTTCTTGTTTGTCTTAGTCTGTTGTTTATATCTTCTTCTGTTGTTCCCTGGTTCGATAATATGGTTCCTAAATACTTGAATCTATATGTTCCATTCACTTGTCTTCCCTCGTCTATCTCTAGGTTTCTTATATCCTTGTTTTCTGTTGTTAGGTATTCGCTTTTCTCTAAGTTTATTTCCATTCCGTTGTTTTTATATTCTTCTTCTAGTTTTCTGAGCATAAAGCTAAGATCTTTTTTATCTTGTGCGATGACTACTTGATCGTCGGCATAACTTAAGGTGTATAGGTATTCGTCTCTTACTGGTATGCCCATTCCTTCGCACTTTCTCCTCCATGGTTTGGGGGTCTTTTCCAAGAATATTTTAAACAGATTAGGGGACGTAGCACAGCCTTGTAGAAGTCCTTTTGTCGTCTTAAATGGATTGTAGGCTTTATTTCAACATTTAATAGCTACTTTGTTTTCTTTGTACAGTGCTTTAACTGCTTTTATTAGTGTTTGTCGGATTCCGAGATCATTCATTGCTTCCCATTATTTGAATTATGGGAAGAATTTTTCTGTGCTTACCAAATCTTTTTCGTTAATTAGACATACGACACAATATTTTTATTATACCAATAAAAATTCAATTTTAACTAAATTTTTCATTTTTTAAATGTATAAATATTACAATTTAATCAGTACTAATTTCTATAATTTATTTTTTATTATGTCAATCAAATTTTAAAAGTGGTATGAGAAATACCTTTTAATATGTATCATCAAACTCATCAAGATTTGTTTTATCTTCTTGTATTGTATTTAAATTTATGTATATTTGTCATATATTTTTTTAATTGTTATTTTATTTAAAATTTATTCACGTAGCTAATAATGTACTTGCACCACCATACTTTGCTTTAACAGCTTTTAATTTTTTAAATAAGCTTCTCTCTAGGATATATACTGATAGACAAAAATAACAAATTTCTAATGGCTCTATACTGGGTCGCTTTGCACACCTAAGAGAAACGCTGATTTAATTATTAAATAATTAAAACTATTGTCACTAAAAATTTATTTTACAGTTTAAATATATGTCTAACAGAAGTCCAAACGATCACATACGTCCTGAGGTGACTCTTTATGAAGCAAGTCGTAGATTCTGTCAACTTTTGGAAGCAATTCATCTTCGCAATAATCTCCTAAGTGTCCTGGTAAAACATCGCATAGTGTCTCGGCGTCTCTTTCAACTTCGGCCTGTAAGAATAGAAAACTATCAGTAATTTAAACTTTATATAATTAAATACCAGAACCACAGAGGAACAACTGGTATATATATTAAAAATCAAAAATATTGACACTCGTAATATAAAGATTATATTTAATCTATATTGTAATCAAAGTGTCAATGTATGAGTTAACAACCAGAATACCCGACATATCAACATACAGAGAGAAGTTCGCCAGGGTTGCGTGCTCTCTCCACTACTATTTAATATCTACAGTGAATCGGTGTTTAGTTTAATCATAAAGGTTATGTCTATCAATGGGTAAATTTTTAAAAAACTAACGTTTTAAAGAGGATATAACCATAAAGATACCAAGATATTTTTAAGAGATTAGAACGGGAAGAAAAAGGTATAAAAATTTGTGGACAATGTTTGAAACATCTAAGGTACGCTGATGACGTATTGATAACCGATTAAAAATATTAATTGTTTTAAATGATGAAAAAACTGGACGTAGAAGTTGGAAAGATAGGCCTTAATATGAATTATAGCAAGACCAAAATCATAACAAATACCGATGAAGACATTACAATGAGGATTGGACAAGATGAAATGGAATAAGTTCAGGATTATATACATCTGGGTACAACTATAAAACTTAACAAAGAAAAACAAACAGCAGAGATAAAAAGACGAGTTAGGCTGGCATGGGCGGCATTTGGCAAACTAAGCTACATTCTTAAAAACAATAAATATCCACAGCATCTTAAGACCAAAGTATACAATCAACGCATAGTCCCTATTCTCACTTATGGTTCCCAAACGTAGACAAAAGCAAACATGGACAAAATCATAAAAACCCAAAAAGCAATAAAAAGACAAATGTTGCACATAAGACTAATAGATAAAAGGAGAAACGAGTGGATAAGAGAAAAAACAAAAGTATGGAGATTATAAGAAAAAAGGTGGGAATATAAACGAAGCAGAGGAAGGCCCCAAATGAGATTGGCAGATGACATTAAGAAGCACGTGGGCTCTAGGTGGATGACTAGCGACAGATAGTGAAAAATGGAAAAGGATTGGCGAGGTCTATGTCCAAAGATGAACCAAAGAAGGCTGATTTGATAGATAGATAGTTAGACAGACAGATAAATAGATAGATAGATAGATAGATAGATAGATAGATAGATAGATAGATAGATAGATAGATAGATAGATAGATAGATAGATAGATAGATAGATAGATAGATAGATAGATAGATAGATAGATAGATAGATAGATAGATAGATAGATAGATAGATAGATAGATAGATAGATAGATATATAGATAGATAGATTAGATAGATAGATAGATAGATAGATAGATAGATAGATAGATAGATAGATAGATAGATAGATAGATAGATAGATAGATAGATAGATAGATAGATAGATAGATAGATAGATAGATAGATAGATAGATAGATAGATAGATAGATAGATAGATAGATAAATAGATAATTATAAAAGATTAAGACCAATAATAATTTACAAAATGTAATGCAATGCTTAAACAAATGCTGTCATAAATATGGGTTGGAGACGAATTACACAGCAAAAAAAAAATTTCATGTTCGCGATAAAAAATTAACTGATTTTGGTTAATTCATCTCTGGTGATGATGGCTAATTCATCAAATACTTAAATTTTCTTACATTTTTGTATATTTTCCCACTATAATTGCAATATATTTATAAACAAACTTAACAAATACCAAGACAAATGCATATTAATGACTAATGACTTCTAATTAAATTCTTGGAAATGGATATATCCATAACTTGAAATTAGCGCTAACAGCTTCTTAACTATTGTCCAATAAGTAAATAGTATTTTCTTTGAAATTACCTAAATAAATTTCTATAAACTCGACTGCATTTCTTTGTAAAATTTAGTTTGAACTTTAGTTTCGTTGCAATAGTTTGTTTTTGACAACTGAAAACCAAGGCTTCTTGTTGTGTGAATTAACGATTTTGCTACATATGTAGCAAGTACATTCTAAAGGAAAGTAGAAAGCCAGTATGTAATTTTATAAGAAGGGCATATCAAGCCTATTTTAAGTTTCATTTAAAAGATCAAGATACATCTTGGGTACCACATATAGTGTGCAAAACTTGTCTTAAAAACTTGCGACAGAGGACAAAAGGACAACAAAAATGTTTAAATTTTGATGTTTCAATGGTTTGGAGGGTACCAAACAATTTTTTTTTAACTATTGCTAGTTCTGTCCTGTAAATATAAAGAACATTGATTGTAACAATCGACATACGTTGACATATCTTAACCTGTATTTAGCAGGATAATATCGAAGCTTCATCTGACGAACTACAGATTAATAGATTTGAGGAAGACAACAGTCATTTTAAAGGGGAGTTAACCTGTCCTGAGCGCTTTACTTAGGAAAAGATAAGCGATCTTATCAGAGATTTGAACCTTCTAAAGGATTCTTTAAAGTTGCCTATCTTTAGACTAAAGAAAAAGAGTCTTCTTTACCCCGACACTTAAATTACGTACTTATTACGTACTTATTACTACCGTAATAGAGAAAAAGATCTTTTGCCTTTTTTACTCAAAAAGATGATATGGTTTTTTGTAACAATATTAAAGGACTTTTAAAAAAAAATGAGTATATCGGAGTATACACCAGATCACTGGAGTCTTTATATCGATAGTTTCAAATGAAGCTCAAAATATGTCCTTCTACATAATGGTAACAAATGTGGAAGAATACCAATTGGGTATTCTACAAAAGTGCAGGAAGAATATAAAAGAATATCGTTGGTGCCTAAAAACATTAAGTATGATCAACATAAATGGGCGATTTGTGTTGATTTTAGGATAGTGAACATTCTCCAGGAATAACAAGGTGGCGATACAAAATATTCCTGTTTTCTATGTCTTTGAGATATCAAGGCTAAGGACCAACACTGGCCTAGAAAAAAATTGGTCGACCAAATAAAAATAATATTACCTCCGTTACATATTAAACTAAGGCTAATAAAACAATTTGTAAAGGCCCTAGACCAGAATTGTCTGTGAAATTGGCTGTAATGCATGGTGGTATTTTGTAAAAGTTGTTGAAAATTTTTTTGAAAGCAATAGATTGGAAAATTACCAGGATATAGTGAAAGAAATGCTTAACAATTTTAAAACACACAATTGTTATATGAGTAATAAAATTCATTACCTTCACAGCCACTTACACCGTTTTCCAGAAAATTTTGGTGACCTTAATAAGGAACAAGGGAAATGCTTCCACCAAAATATCAAAACGATGGAAGAGAGGTATAAGGGGAGATAAGACACTCACATGATGGCGGATTACTGCTAATGTCTTCAAAAGGATCGTCCTTTTAAAATCCTTTAAAAGAAAGTTTTTAATGACGCCGAATAACAGATTTGTACTGCGATGCTGTTTAGGTTAGATGGAAAGTTTTTGGGCAAATATGTGTGATGTATATGTATTTAGTGCTGTGTTAAATTGTATTGTTAAACTGTATTTTTTGAAAACCATCTGATGGAGCGAATCTGGCAGCATTTTTAGATACAGCATACCCAAATTACCTAGAAACAGTAAAACAATCTCCAGCAGCAAACTGTGCATTTACCAGTCATATTACTCTGTGTTTGCTGCTTGTTTGAAATTTATTTATTACACTGAAATTTTTATTGTATCAATCTTGTTGGGTAGAATGAAGCTAATTTTGATCTAGTAAAATACTGCTCATGAAACTTACCAGTGGTAATCTCTCATCGACGTAATTCTTGATAACAGTTGCGAATGTTATGCAGGAGTCGCACTCAAATCTGTCAAAAAATATTTTTGTTTAATTTAAATTTAATACATTTATTGTTTCCTATAATTGATACGGTGTGTATAAAAAATAACGTAACGTTAATTAAATAAAATTTCTTTTAATAAGGGGTTACGGTGATCATATTAGCAATAATAAAGATTTATTTAAAAAGTTATATCCAAAATTTAAGTTTAAAAAAACGTGAAACATTTTAAATTATTAATTCCACTAAAAATTGCACACAAATTTACCAACCAAAAACAGAAAATACTGATAATAGATCGGTGGATTTTAAGAAATTTTTTCTATACAAAATATTTATGTATAATTGTTTATATTGACACTGACGTAAGCTTAATAAAGTGCAGTAATACTGTTAATCAGAATATATACGCATAGTTTATTGACTATAACAAAGCATTGAATAAAGTACGACATAATCAATTCAGTTAAAGTCCTTAAATCACAGAAGAATTGACTACAACAATCTCAGGATCATATCAAATTTATACTATAAACAGCGAGCAAAAGTCCGTATTAACAAACAGCTGTCAGTAGAAATTGAAATTTGATGTAGAGTGACACATGAATCCTTATTGTCGCCAATTATTTTTAATGCTTACTTCGAAGATATCCTGAAAAACAATAATTGTCAAGAAGACGAAATTTATAAGAATATCGAAAACTCAAAGAAATAACGAGAATCTTTTAATAAACGGAACCGATGTCGACCAAGTGGACAAATATGCATATCTGGGAACAGTGATTAACTCCACAAATAATTACATTCAGGAGAACAGAAATACAACAAATACAAATCAGAATAGGAAAAGCTAGACCAAATTTCAGAAAATTAGAAAAGTGCTATGTACAAGGGATTTAAAATTGGAACTAAGGGTTAGGTTAGAGAGTTGCTATGTTTTTTCGACTTTATTTTATGGAATGGAATCTTGGACCTTGAATGCGACATCAATGAAAAAACTGGAATATCGTGGAATGAACACGTCACAAACAGAAAGGTTATGAGAAGGATTAATAACAAAATAGAAATTTTAAATACAATTAAAACAAGAAAATTAGAATATCTTGAATATAATACACATGGAGAGAAATACACCTTACTCCTGATTGCTACTAATAATTACTACTAATGATGCAGGGAAATATCCAAGGAAATAGAAGCATGTGTAGACGTAGCATGTCATAACTATGCAACCTGAGAGAGTGGTAGAGATGGGCATCAAATTTTTCAGAGCAGCCGTTTCAAAAGTCCGAATAGCTGATGATTGCCGACCTCTGTCGTGGAGATGGCACTTGAAGAAGAAGAACACAACAGAAGATTATCATGATGCAATAAATTTTAAATGTTATTAAAGAAACGTTTGGTAATAATTTATTGTAATATGTTAAATTTTTCCAATTACATTTTGAATTCATTTTTCTGAATTGTTTTTCTCACTAATGCAGATCCTAAGTTTACGTCGCTTGCCAATCTGTCATCGGCCATATCCCATTTTATGTAGTAACTGTAAGCGAATATTATCGGCCATAAAAAATTGTGATCTTGGAATTTTTTTATGTTACATTAATCGAATGTCGAATTACCGAATAAATTTACTTTTAATGTCTCAAATCTTTATTGATTACCTTTGCCAAATTCTTCGAGAATTTTATGATTTTTATAATTTATAATTATTGATTGTTTACTTACTCTTCAGGCTCGGGAGCATGATGGGTGGTATGGTCTGGCCTATGAGTTGTTTTGGCGTAGACAGTAAGACCTAAAAATAAATAATTTTACAATAAAATAAAGAAATTTAAATGCAATTGGCATATTGGTAAAAAACACACGAATAACATTTGTTCAAAATCTATTTGGTCCTATCAGATCATAATCAGGGATAACTTAAGTACTCGCAACAAAATATCGATATTAATAGATTTAACAATCAAAAGACTGATATTTTTGTACACACTTATGACAAGTCAAAAGAAAATGTAAAAAAGTATTTTTGAAGTGTGTATATTTTAAACAATTCCTAGCTGAGCGCTTTCGGCTTTACAAAGCCATCATCGGAGCTATGCTACAATAAAATGTTCTTATAAGTACTAATTGGTGAAGATTTTAATTTTTAACTTACGTCAATTTATAAATACCACTACAATGGAGATCCTTATATGTCGAAATTATGATTTTTTAGTTGCTTCTTGCTTTTTTTTTTTTAGCGTATGGACTTTCACAGTACGATAAATATACAAATACAATTACAATAATATACACATATAATATTATTTATATTATTCAAACACTAAAAATAGTATAAATAGAATGAATAACACTAAATATTAATCTCCAATTTACATAGCCATTCATTTTTTAGTTGTTAAAATTATTAAAAAACAGATAAAAAACTGACACTGGACTTCACAGACACATTAAAAAATTGAAAAATTTTTTGTCATGGTACGGGTGTAAGAACCCGACCATTGATTGATGTGAGGGGACAGAATAGAACTAATGAAATCAAATGTCGGTCCTTTTAAACGATTTTTCAAAAGTGACAGTTGACAAATGTCATATATAGGAAATAGAGATTGTTTTTTAAATTCTTACAAAATTTTTAAATAGTTTGGAATTACTAATAGTCATCAAAGACTTTCTAAAAATTAAGTTTTTAAATTAAATTTTATGTGTTCATCACATCATACAGAATGACATTAGTTTGTAAATTCACTAAAGTCATTGCTCAAGGTCAATGTATGTTCAATCTGACAGTCATTCTTAAGAAACAAGGGCTCAAATTGTTCAACAATAATATAAAGAAGAAACATGGTATTAATGTTACATTATCTGATACTTAAGTGTATTGAGAATTGTATCTCTTGATGGAAATTTGTAAGAAATTTGCATAAAAATTTTTTTTTAAGAATATATTTTCATGTTTCAATGAAGAATAACTGCCAAATGAATTACAAAATGTTGTAAATTTCTAATAAAGTTTAAAATTATGTTTACCCTTCTTCCTCTAAAGTCTCCCATAATAATTTAAAAAGAGGTTTATAATTGCAATTGAGGTTGATTTGTGTGTTTATGCAACAATCAGGGTTTAGTTTCATTTCTTTGGATATCTCAAGATCTTCCAAGAGATTCATGAGTCTAAAGTTTTTATTGGGAATGTTGTGTAAAATTTTACTGTTTTCAGAAGGAGAAAAGGAATGATTATTAAATTTAATGTGATATCCAAAGTTTGATTTTTCTGGGTTATTAAGGTGTTCTTTGATTCTTTGATTCAGAGTTCTCATTGTTCTACCTACATAAGTCATATTACAGTCACCACAGGACAGCTTGTAAATACCACTTCTGTTTAGTTTGTCAACTTTGTCTTTGGTCTTGCTGAAGATGGACTTGATGTTATATTTGGTTTTAAAGGAGATGTTTAAGTCACTGATTTTATTAACAAGTACTCTTAAAATTTTTTTTGAAATTGGTCCCAAGTAAGATAAGGATCTATATATAAAAGTAGTGTTGGATTTTTTATCAACATTAAAAGCTTGGTTTAGTCCTTTTTTGAGTATAGATTTTCTAATGACTTTATCAACAGTAGTAGAAGAAAAACCATTGTTGTTTGCTATCTGTTTAATGATGGAGATTTCTTTATTGTAATTTTCTTGAGACATAGGGATATTAAGAAGTCCGTGGACATAACATTGAATAGCTGCCAGCTTGTGTTGAAAAGGGTGATTTGAGGATGTTGGTATCATATGGTCAGTTTGAGTAGGTTTTCTGAATATTGAAAATTCTAGTGTAGGCAAAGAAGAAGAGGAGGAAGCATTCTTTTTGATAGTTAGGTCTAAAAAGTTAATAATGTTGTTGCTTTCTACTTCTAAGGTAAAATTAATTGCAGGATGTAGATTATTAATTATTGACAAAATATTGTGAGGTTCTGAAGGTGGGCCTTCTATAAAGTCTAAAATGTCATCCACATATCTGTACCATAGGATTATTTGTGGTTGAGAATGAACAAAGTTAGTTTCGAGAGACTCTAGAAAAAGATCTGCAAGTAGAGGAGATAAAGGATTTCCCATTGCTAAACAATCTGGTTGTCTATACCATCTTGGGAAATTCTATGCCATTGCTAAACCATCTTGGGAAAGGCAAAATTGGAGTAGAGAAGTAATTTGTGAACATTTATTTTGGTCAATGGTTTTTTTTTGTAGAAGGTTATTGATAATTGGATTAATAGATTTAATTGAAAGGGTACATATTTGCCCTTACTTAAAACACCACCTTGTGTGGATCCGACAGAAAGCATTAGCCAACAACGACATTTTACAATATAACTTTTTAACTCTGGTATTCAGCTAACTGGGAACTTCCTAAAGTTAAAAATAACTATTTCTGTACATAAGTAGCTATTTATTTATAAATAATCTCTTAAATCAAGCAATAGATAACTCTTTATGTGTGAAAAATTAATAAAATTTAATATATTCAGCAAATCGATATCATGATTTTGATCACACACTTACACACATAAATATACGAAATTACAAAACATTTAAATACTTTGCCAGCTAAAAGTGCCCATTTTTAATAAATAAATAAATTTTTTAGAGATAATATGGATAAAAAAATCTTTGGATAATTTTTAAGAGACAAAGATGAAGATAGGTAGACAAATGTTAAGTTAAGTTTATCCAAATTCATTTTATAACCTATATATTTTTAAGCAATCCTATTTTACTATTTTTTTTTAATTCAAATTTTAATAAGTTTTAATTTTAATTCAATTAATATTTTCTAGCTGTAATTACTTAAAGTAGCTATCCTTTTTACTTAATTAAGCCCACATTATTTTTTTACTATTCACTATTATTGCTGATTCTATAAAAATGAATGTTATTTATCCGCTAAGACTAAAACTTTTAGTAAACTTCTTTCGCCTGGTGCTCTAAATTATAAAGGCTGTACACCTTCATAATCTATATTTGAAACCCTCACAAAATCAT